CAATCTCTGCAGCAGCTGAGGATAGAGGGTTCCCCATTGGGGACCCTTTTATCTGTAGAAAAAACTGGGAGTTGAAAGAGCAGACTGAAGATTGTACACAGAGATGGGTGAGTTCTATAATTTTGGAGGAGGTATGATAATCGACATGGGAATCAACTAGAAAGGACCTAAGGGAGTCTACAATTAAATCGTGGGGGAGGCTAGGGTATAACAATACTACATCAAATGAAACCATGACGAGGTTCGGACAAGGAGGGGTACCATACACATCATCAATGAATGAACTGGTGGAGGTGATGGAGGTAAGGGAAGGAGTACCTTTCAGGAGGGACGAGAGGAAAGACGAAATGAACTTGGAGACCGAGGCCATGGGGGATAGGAAGTGGGCCACGATTGGTCTTAACGGAATTCCGGGCTTGTGGAGCTTGGGCAGGCCATATATATAGGATTCGGTAGCGGTATCAGGGAGAAAGGACTTGTGTTCTTCTGGGGAAATGATCTGGGTTCTTTTCAGACGGTTGAGTTCTTTGCAGACGGAGGAGTATATGGAGGCTCAGAGGGTATGTTCGGGTTTTATCTTTTTGGAAATAAGCTTGAAGGTGATTGGGTCTTCAAGTTTGCTTAGCATTTTTCGGTGGTAATCAGATTTGTCTAGAATTACTGTTTGTCCTCCTTTGTTTGAATGGGTGATGATAATTTCTTTTTTGTTTTTTAAGTCTTTAATTAGACGGTTTTCATGTGGGTTGCTTTGGGAAGGGTCACGGGTTCACTTAGAAGGTTGATTACATGGTGTCTGATTATGTTCTTGGTGGTTAAGCTTTGACACGGCGGCCTCAACTTCACTTACTATTTTGATAGGGTCCGATTTTTGCATATTCCTGAATTTCATATCTATAGATAAGAAGGTTAATTTTTTTGGAGTCAAGGCAGTTTTTGACAGATTGCTCCTTTTTGAATTTGAAGCTTCTATTGAGATCTTTTGTTTGCCATGTAGATGTAGTAAGTTGGTTTTCTCCAGGCTTAACACTAGTTTGTTTCATGTACACCATTATGCTGATGATTGTTTTTTATTTCTTGGTAATGGGTTGAGGGTTCACTGGTATTGAAAGAATGGCCTGTGTTGTGGATGTGCTGGTATATGAGAGAACGGGGATTCTTTCTCTTAACAGATCTTTCATGCTCAGCCATTCTGATTCTCACAGTTCTTCCTGTCTCTCCCACATATGTAGCTTCACACTGCAGACATGATATTGAATATATTATTCTTGCTGAGGGAATCAGTAGGGGTGTTGCTTCTGGTTATCTCATTGTCTTAGTCTGTCTGCAAGGCTTAGTGAATTGGAGAAATATGTATTGATACCATGTTTCTTTAATATTTGCAATATGGATTTAGATGAGATGGGGAAAATATAATTTGAAAGGTAGGGAGGAGAGTTTCTTGGTGTAGATAGATTATATAAATGCTTTAAGATGAAGGATATCAGATAAGCCAATAGAATTAAGGTGTTTTGTTATATTAAGATTTCTCTATTGATAGAAAAAGTGGTAGAGAACAGTGGCTGTGTATATGCTTTGATAAAGTTCTTATGATTCTAATTTTGTGGGAAAGAGGACAGCAGAATGCGTAATATGTGTAGTTGGGGAAAAAATATATTTTTTTAAAACACGGTGGTGTGGTATCTTGTAGGGGTTTGGGTTATTAAAATATCTAAGAATGGAATAACCTGCTTTTTCAATGGTAAAGGACATGTCATTATGATAATTATTGAGAGAGGTTAATATTGCATCTACTGAGTTCCTGTCACAAATACAAAAGATGTCGTCGACATATCTGTTTTATAAGTTATATTGTTTCTATTTAACATTTAACCTTATTTAAACATATATTTATAATATAGTTACAGTCTATATTTAGAGCCATGCAATACAGCACCACACTAGATGAATTACATATTTATTATGACTCAATTGATGATACAAACTGTGTTGCCGGATCTTTATATTTACACAGATTATACTATATACAACATGTCCCCCTTTCAATCAAAGTCCGGGGTCATATATTTTGAACCGAAGTACAGGCAGGAGAGTTCTCCTTATTCCTCTTGACCACTGGACGGTCTGGGCCTCCTCTCGATAAACACTGGGTCTTCTCCAAAGTAGAACGCCAATTGACAAACCCCATTTAGGCTTTCTCTAAGTGGAATGCCAATTGATCAATCCTATTCAGGCTTTTTCTAAGTGGAATGCCAATTGATCAATCCTATTCAGGCTTTCTATAAGTGGAATGCCAATTGATCAATCCTATTTAGGCTTTCTCTAAGTGGAATGCCAATTGATCAATCCTTTTCAGGGTTTCTCTAAGTGGAATGCCAATTGATCAATCCTATTCAGGCTTTCTATAAGTGGAATGCCAATTGATCAATCCTGTTCAGGCTTTATGTGGAATGCCAATTGATCAATCCTAATCAGGCTTTCTCTAAGTGGAATGCCAATTGATCAATCCTGTTCAGGCTTTATGTGGAATGCCAATTGATCAATCCTAATCAGGCTTTCTCTAAGTGGAATGCCAATTGATCAATCCTATTCAGGCTTTCTCTAAGTGGAATGCCAATTGATCAATCCTATTCATGTTTTGAGGCACATTTTCCACAAGCCTTGAAAAATTTATGATTTTTCTTTACAAATTTATGCTCTGTATTTTTATTACTAGATGTTTCTTTATAACTAGATAGCTTATCCACAGTTACCTCTTCATTTATTTCCTTTAATTGTGTCCTGGATGATTCTGCAGCTCGTCCTAGGGCTATTGCTTTTGATAAAGTTAAATCAGGATCTTGAAGATACCTTTCCGTTAAATTTTTGTCCAGTACTCCCAGAACTATTCTATCTCTAATTAATGATTCTGTAAGATCGCCAAAATCACAATCTACAGCTTTATTTTTTACTTTTGTGACAAAGTCATCAAAAGATTGATTTTTTTCTTGAACTTCCGAAAAAAATTTATATCTTCTATAAATCACATTTTTAAATGGTTTAAAATGGTTATCAAATTTCTCCAGGATTTCAGTAATTGTAGGGTTAGTTAATGTTTCTTGCAAGCCAAAAGTTTTATATATATTTAAAGCGTCGTCACCTATGTTATGTAAAAGAATGGCGCGTTGCTGTTTAACTGGCTTAGTTTCTAGTTGTATGGCGTCCGAATATAATAAAAATTTAAACTTCCATGTTTCCCATGCTTCTGCATTATTTGTAGTTAATTCAAATTGAGATGAAGGTTCAAAATGATCCATTGTTCCAAAATTTGTATAATCTATTTTTTCAAAATTGAAAAAAAAAAAAAAAAAATTTACTTACTTTAGAGGTATAAACTTTTCTTTTACTTCGTTTGCTTCGAAATTTTTAAGCCTTTTCTTCGTTTTCCCGCTGCCACCATGTTACGTAGCGATTGTGGTTTTCTATTAATTATATTTTATTAAGTAATTACCAGCCTTTAATTGTAATTTATTTTATTTACTACAAGCATGGCTGCGCTTGTAGTATGCCACAATCCTATGTCGATTTAATGCTTGTTATTAATTATATTGTCAATCCTGATCATTATTAATTCAGCTGCAATGGTTGAAAAAAGCTTCCCATTGGGGAAGTAATGTAATAGTAAGACTTGAGAAGGTTATAGTCGAGGTTCACCAGGCTGGAATAGAGCTGCAAGTGATCCACCAGGAGAGGGTGGGTGTCGGCCAACTTGGACTTGAGGCTTTGGCAGGCAGCACAGAGCTGCTTCCTGGTAACCGTCAGTAGTTGTATCATCTCTGGTTCCTCTATCAACAGGAGGTTGGCTATTTGCATCTGTAGCTTGTTTCGGACTATGGATTTCTCCTGAGGACTATCTTTGAAGGAAGAGAGGATCTTCTCTACCTCCCTGAGCTTTTCCAGCCCCTCAAACTGGGAGATGTCCTGCAGGGGGCTTTGCCATTCCATATGGGCTCTTTGGAGGTTCTGCCATTGGTTAGCCACTGCCCGGTCCATGTTACTTTAAAACTCGAAAAGGAGGCTATTGGCTCAGGGGTATCTTTTCTTAAATTCTCCCTTCCATTCTTCTCCCTTATCTCCTTCGAAGAGCTTCCCCGACACAGAATATCCAGATGATTCATCCCACAATTTTTGCATTCTAGTTGCCTTTTGCACTGTCTGCTGAAATGTCCTGATCGCAAGCACCTGAAGCATAGTTGTGCTTTCCTAATCTTTTCCATCCGCTCTTCCAATGAAATTCGAGCAATATGGTAGCATTGATGGCTCTCATGACTTGTGCTTTCACAAAAGCAACATTTCATTGGAGTTCGACTCCCGAACAAACTAGATACAGTGGCAGGTCTAGGATTGTTCCATTTCCTTGGCCTTTCATTATAAAACTTCCTCTGAGGCACTTCTTCGTTGAAACCTTTTTCTATAAATTTCAATCTTTGAGCACTCTTGACTACTGCTCTTAAGAAGTCCATCAACGCTTTTAATCTTTCGGGGATCTCTCTAGTCCTATCCACTGGGTCTTGTATCTTAAAACTCTCCTGTCCATAACCCGAAGAAGGATGTCTTTGCCATATTTTCAATACATCCGATGGCAGGGATGTCTCTACCAGAGGATACAAGAAAACACCCGACAACTGTGGGTCTATTCCAAGCGTTTGCAACGATCTCAAGTGACTCGATAAGTCATCGTACAAATTACTCAAATTTCTATTTTCCTTCCTGACATTGGCCATGACCAAATTCAAAAGTCGTCTAACATAGAGCTCCGTCAGAATATTCGGATCTCCAAAACGCTCTTGCAAAGCCTGAATAGCCGACGTGTAATTATCCCCCGTAACAGGGTAACTGGCTATAACTCTATATGCCTCTGAATCAGGCAAAATCGCCTGTCGCAAATACAAAAATTTATCACTATTAGATAAATCTACACCTTCATGCACCTTCGAAAACTGTGCCCACCAAGGCAACCAGTTTTCTAGAGAACCATCATACGTCTTCAACTTCAATTCCGGCAGTTTTATATTCAATTTTGTATTTTTACTACTATTCGAAAGAACTTCTTCTTTTGCCTGATCTCGCAACATGCAGATCTTCTGCTCCATGCTGAATCTCTCCTGAATATATTTCTCGCAATCCTCATATTCCCGATCAATCTCTTCATCCGTAATATTCTCTTGGGCCAACAAAACCAGCTGGCATTGCTCATTCAAAGCCACAAGTTCTATATGTAGAGATTCGAGCCTCTTATATTTTGCATAAATATTTTCTTTATTAATAGAAGACTTTTGAACTCGGCCTTCAACTCAGTGACCGTCTTGGTAAAGATTCCCCGTACAGCTCTTCTACGTTTCTTGTTCGTCTCCTCCATCTTATCACCAAGCCTATCACGTCCGGCTCACCAGAAATGTAAAAAAGAAGTCAAATTTAGGTATTAAATAATATGTAAATGAATAATTTAAATAAGACTTTTCCTTTTCTAACTATTGTAATATAGCGATAGGCCGGCGTTACCCTGGAGAGAAATGATCAGCCGTACTTGATGATTAAAAAATTATGAGGCTTTATTACACAAAGTTATAATGAGATATAAGATGAACCAATTTTGGTCTAATCAATCCAGAACTATCAGGTTAGGCCTGATTCAGCTTCTTTTGCCTCAGTGGACTTTATCTTCTCTTATACTTCTTCTTTATCTTCAGGCTTCCCTTGGACCTCTCTTGCCTTTTCACTTGAGCTCGAGCTCCTAGATTCGCTCTCTCAATCTGCAGCCTCTCACTCTCCCCGCGCGCGCCTCATACTTTTTTTTCTCTGTGGCGCATCCCTTTGCGCGCGCCATCTAGAGCCGTCTTCCCGAATCATTTCCTACAAGACAATTATCAGTAAGATTTTCTATTGTATGCGAAGTGGATGGATCTATTTGTACATCAGAGAGGAAGGTACTAACACTGTCTTTAATCAACTTGTGGAGAAGGCTTGAAAACAACAGGACGACGTCATATGAACACATTATGTTGTTGGGATCAGGTGATAATTTCCTCAAGTCTTCAATGAAATCTTGGGTGTTGTGTACTGAAAAATTGTGGTTATATTGCTTTAGTAATGGAGAGAAAAAGTTAGATAAATATTTGGCTAACAGAGCTGTTGGTGATTTGTGGTAGACTACAATAGGGCCTAGTGGGATATAGGGCTTGTGTACTTTGGGCAATCCCTATATGTAGGCATCCGTAGTAAGGCTTGATATAAACAGTTTGTAATCCTTAGATGTAATGTTCCAGTTTCTTTTTTAGAATTATTGTAAGTTTGAAGTTTATCTGCTTCTATTATGAGAACTAAGATGGGGATATCAGAGAAAATTCCATCATTTTGGATCTGTATAATAAGATATCCATGATGACTCTGTGAGTCTTTATCGAAGTTAGAGATAATAAGGCCTTTTTGATTCTTCAATCTTTGTATGGTAGTTTTTTTTTTTTTTTTTTGCAAGAGCCATGTATGCTGGGGTGTCTGTTTCATGAGTAATGTGGATACTTGATGTCTGATGTTACTCTTTTCTTGGTGTCTGAGGTCATTGATAGAAACTTCAACCCTGCTGATCATTTTGAAGATATTCGGATTGGATCCGTTCTTATAGTTCAGGCCCTTGGAGAGCAATGAAATCTCTGCCTGTGAGAGTTCCGAGCTGGAAAGGCTCAAAATTCGAGAATGTTCATCCATTGGATTATGAAGTGAGAGAGAAACCATATTTTTTGACCAGAAAAAAAAGGTATTATTATGTTTCTTCTTAAGCAAAGAATCTCCTAAGATCAAATTTCTGATGTGATGCATATTATCAGAGAGGTAAGGTCATGGATTAGGACAGGAATCTTATGTAGCATCCCTGGTATCTAGAACGGAGAAGTTGGCGGCAGGTATTGTGGATGATCTATGCGGAGAAAGGGTTCTGGACTGGATCTTTGATGTGTAGGGATGGTTCAAACATCGGCAGTTAAAATGTAGGTGGCATCACCATCTGGCTAATGGCAAAGATGACTTATGGATTTGATGCATATATGTCTCTATTTTCTGATTCGAAAGATTCATATCACAAAAATAATAATGCGAGAACTTGTTAATAATATAAAATCCCTTCAGTAAAATTATAAATAAAAGAAAATTCACTGAGGGAAAAGTTTCATTTTTAATCACGATAATACAAGCTATCCTTATATATCTATATCAATTGATTTAAATCTCCTGGACACAAATGACCAAAAAGGTTTGTGGAGATGGGTTTCTTTTTATTTTATTAAAGCAGTCTCAAGCTTTCAGGTATTTCTGTCCTTATCTGGGAGAACTTCTTCTTTCTTATCTCCACTCAATCATATTAGGGTATCAAGCTTATAAAGCTTGAGACATTTGATGCTGTCTGCCGGGGAAGAGTATAGCTCATCAATGGATGAGTCAATACAGTCAATAATATTATAAAGAAAATAAAGTCTCTCTAGGGCTAAGTTTCTTGTTCAAATTTTATTATCTAGCTTTCAGACCTGTCAGTCCTTCCACAGGAGTATCTCGATAATAAATATATATATACTATTTTTATACAAAATAATTTTTGCATATTTAATTTTATTAAGTTTTAATTTAACAAATAATAATAATAGATAGAATATTTACATATTATATTACATAATAGAATGCTTACATATTTAACTATTAATGATATTGAAAGGGGGAGAAAATATATATTGCCTTCTTTGTGTGTTATAAACCATTTTTTGTAATTATGAGTGCATGGGTGGAGGCCACGCGCTGGTCGAATGATATCACGTGATCTCAAATTAAACCTATTAAATTCGTGAACTGTTATGGTGTATATAGTATTTTAAATCTAAGGGGTAGTGTGTGTTTGTTAATATTGTTTCATATGTTTCTGATATTTCTATGCATCTGTTTATGCTTTTTTGTTGTTTGGTTATCATAGATTCTATTAAGAGTCTTTGGTATTTACTATGGATATTGTCATAATGCACTATGGGTTGGGATAAGTTAAATGTGTGGCCTGTTTCTTTTATGTGTTGAACTATTAAAGATCTTGGGTCACTATTGATAATATTCCTATTATGTTCAGCTATTCTATTATGACCTTTTCTCCCAGTCTCCCCTACATATTTAGAACTACAGTTATTACATGATATGGAGTATATGGCTTATTTTCTATTGAATGGAGTATTGGATTGATTCTTTGTTAATGGGTTTCTAATCATATTACCTAAATTTGGAGAATTATTGTACATAGTTTTGATACCATATATTCTAAGTGTTCTAGCTATGGATACTGATTGAAGGGAATATTGAATGATGCATAATGCTTTATAAATTTCTGCTTTTTAAATTATTGATTTGGTGTTTTCTGCAGTCTGATAAAAATGTCGTAGGATGAAGGATTTTGGGTAACCTGATGATAATAGATTTTTAATAATATTTTGTGTTTCTTCTGTTTTTAATTGAGGTAAAGAACAATGTGTGAATACTCTTTCAGATAATGTTTTTATAGTATTGATCTTATGGCTAAGAGGGCAGAATGAAGAGTATCTAATGTAGTTTGGGATAAAGGATGGCTTATAATATACACCTGTATTTAATTTATCTTCTATCCTCATGATTTTAATATCTAAAAAGGGAAGGATACCATTATTCTCTTTTTCTACTGTAAAATTAATATTCTATGGTAACTGTTGTGTGCCTCTGTGTGGGTTTCTCATTACCAGGCCACTACATTCTCTTAGAATTTATTAGAACACTAACTTCTACAATATGGACTGACTGACTGACTGACTGACTGCTAACAACTTGTAGCGCTATTTATACATGAAGTCAGAAATGTGTATGCAAAGAGGATATTTGCATTTCTGCAAATACACAACACCCTCCCCTCCTAATAATATTGGAGACTGTCTGGTGGTCTCCTGGATCTCTGGGGTCTGGGGCTCCGGCTTGAGATTTTTCCTCTAGAAGCAGCAGCCATTGGCTCCTGGTGTTCTCCAATTGATGTCAACTCCTGCCTGGTTGACTGCGGCTCCAATTCATTTGTGGTGAACTCTTCTTCCAGGATCTCCAGGCCACCGTGAGAGGGTTCTCTCTCGCAATGCGATTCTCTTCGCAGCCCTTGTCTGGATGTACTCGGCAGCACTAAGCTTGGCTCTTTCTCTACAGTAGCCTCTGGATTTTCTTTGACAGGTCGCAGCTGATTGATGTGCCTCTTTAGGGATTGGCCTTGATACCCTATTAGGTAATGGCGGCAACTAAGGAGTTTTAGGATGGTTCCAATTTTCCACTTTGGTCCGGCTGCATAGTTTCGGAAATAAAGATCGGAACCAATTTTAAAATGCTCCTGCTTTCTCAGAGCATCAGGAAACCCCTCTCCCTTCATGTCCATTTTAGGCATTAAATTAGAAAATCTAGGCTTTAAACGTCTCTTCATCAATAATTCAGCTGGCGATTCCTTTAGGACTGACTGTGGAAATGCTCTATGGGCAAACAAAAATCTTTGTAGGTTTGTTTCCAAGTCATCCTTTTCGTTGTTTTTTTTTTTTTAACAATTTTTTGAATTCGCGTACATAACGCTCAGCTAACCCATTAGTACTTGGATTATATGGACTGGTTTTTGTGTGCCGAATTCCATTCATTCTGGTGAATTCCTCCATTTCTCTCGAGACAAACTGTCTTCCATTGTCTGTCACTAAGAATTCCGGCAGTCCAAATCTGGCAAACACTTGCCTTAGATAATCAACAATGGTTTTACTGGTTATATCCCCCCGAGGATAAATATTTCCAACCATTTGGTATAGGCATCCACTATCACCATAAACATTCTACCCATAAAAGGGCCTGCCAAATCCAGATGTAGGCGATGCCAAGGTTTCTCTGGCCAAGTCCATTCTGTAATAATGGAAGGAGGCATGTCTGCGATTCTTGACAGATGGTACACTGCCGAGCCATATCTTCTATGCTCTTATCTATTCCTGGCCACCAAAAATACCTCCTTGCTATTATCTTCATTTTCACCATTCCAAAATGCATCTCATGTAGATCTATGAGAATTTGAGATCTTAATTTTGGAGGAATCACTATCCGCTCTTTCCACTGAAGGCATCCAAAGTCCACACTTAATTCATTCCTAACCTTGTAGTAAGGAGACAAAGGATTTTCTTTCATGAATTTTGGTGATTGCCAAGTGTCCTTCCAGACATTTCTCAGAACAATTGCAAGAGTCTTGTCTCTTTTAGTCTCGAATGCCACATCCTGGAATGAAAAGGGAACCTCATTCATTTTTCTTAAGAACAATATCTGATCATCATCATAAGATCCCCCCTCATTGGCTTTTAACGGCAAACGTGATAAAGCATCGGCATTTCCGTGGTCCTCCGTCTTTCTAAACTCCACCGAGTAATGGAAAGAACCCAGCTTTAATGACCATCTCTTTATCCTAGACGCTGCACATACCGGAATTGGTTTGTGTGGTGAAAACAGGTGCATGAGTGGTCTGTTATCAGTCACCAACACAAACGCGCGTCCCAAAAGATATTGCCTGAACTTCTCACATCCGTAGATAATGCTCAAAGCCTCCTTCTCTAACTGGGAATAATGTTTCTCCGCCTCAGTTAGAGTTCGTGACGCAAAAGCTATTGGACTTTCCTGCTTCTTGTATCTGTGACTAAGTACCACGCCAAGTCCATAGCTCGAGGCATCGCAAGCCAAAACAAGTTCCTTAGCTGGGTCGTAATGTGCCAACACTGAATCATCAGTCAATAATGATTTACATTTATTTAACAAAACCCGATGTTCATTCGTCCATTTCCAAGGGCAATTTTTCTTCAGCAGTTTGTAAAACGGGGATAAAATAGACAATGTATCCTTGATGAATCTGGCATAATACATTAGCATGCCGATAAAAGAACGTAACTGGCCAATGTTCTTAGGCTCAATAGCATTAGACACTGCTTGTATTTTATTCAATATTGGATGCAATCCGTTCTTATCGATGCGAAAGCCTAAATATTCCACTGAATCCACAGTGAATTTGCATTTTGCCTTATTTAATTTTAGGCCTTTTTCTTCTAATCTTTTGAATACTAGGTCCAATTTGGACTTGTGATCCCTTGCATCTTTACCAGATACTAAAATATCATCTATATATAACAAGCTACTCCCGGTATATCAGCAAATACATTGTCCATCAACCTCTGGAATTTATTTGGTGCCACAGCCACACCATAAGGAAGGCTCCGATAAGCAAATAACCCCTTGGTAGTGTTGGAGCTTGGATCCTCACAGTATTAGTTTGAAATTCCGTGTAGCTCTTTAACCTTTGTTTTAGATGTTGACGATCTTTTGGCAGAGTTTAATTCGGACTGTATGTTTTCACCTCGATCTGCGGATTGACTACTGAGAGATTATCCTGTCTAATTGCGATGTAGTAACAAGAGAATCACCACACAGCCTCACTGATCTTAGCTGACACACTTTTATTTTCACGTTCACTCTTTTTATATGTCTTAATAGCAAGAAAACTTTCTCCACTGATTATATTAACTAGAGATAAAACGTAAGGAGAAAAGATTTTTTATTCACATAAACGTGCGACAAGCTTTCGGGCAGTCACGCCCTTCGACTGGTAACAAACTGTGGTAGCAAAAGGCTTTATATAGGAAACCGTTTTTTGAGTTATATTTACATATGTGATGAATATAGGACGGCTAAAAATACAATTCAGATTAAAGATTTTTGTAAATCTAAATTAGTGATATGTAACTATTACGTAAGTATGCTAATCTTGTAATGCTAAATGATAAATAAACGATAAATTTGCAGATTGGCTATGTTACTAAACTATACCGCGATACTGGATAACATCTGTTCAACCCGCCATCAGCGGCCACACAGGACCTATGGAGGGGGTAGGGGGGGGGGGTTCTATGATTTATTTAAGTTGTTACATAAATCCTGATATTGTTTAGGTAAATCAATATGGCGGTTAATGCTGTTCTTAGAAATGGATAACATGGCCTCTATTATCAGTCTCTGGTGTTTATTGGGGATGTTATTGTATAAGGTGGTGGGAGAAGCTAGATTGAATGAATGGCCTGTATTAAGAGTGTGGTTGTATATGAGGGATTTGTTGTCTTTATTATTGATACACCTACCATGTTCAATCATCCTGATGGCCACGGACCTACCAGTCTCACCTATGTAAGTTGCACTACAATCGTTGCATGAGACTGAGTAGACCGAGCCACCCGACGATTGAACATTGGTAGGTCTCTGTAATCGGGTAATGGGATGTCTAAGGATGGTGGACAGGCTTTTATTATTTTTAAAAAAGGTATTGATGCCGTGAGATTTAAGCAGGCGGGATATGGTAGCGGATTGAGGTGAATAAGGCAAGGTACAGGTATTTCTATGGGTTAAAATGGGTTTCAGATTGGCAGGGTTGTGTCTGTATTTGTGTATAAAATGGTGAGGATATTGAGAGAGGGCAAGCGGTTTTTTGATGTTAGAGAACTCTATTGATCTAAATAAGGGCAGGGAGCAATGTGTAACCAATCTCTTGGTAAGTGTTCTCACTGTATTGATTTTATGGGACAAGGGACAGGAAGAATTGAAATTGGTGTAGAAAGTTGGGTTATTGATCTTATGATATACTGTTGTGTGGTAGTGTGAAGGGGTACGAATAATTAGTATGTCTAGAAAAGGTATTACACTATTGATTTCTGGTTCATGACTAAAGGAAATATCGGGGTGAAAAGAGTTAAGAACAGATAAGATACTGTTCTCCTGTCCAGTTTCACATATACAGAGGATATCATCAATATATCTCCTCCATATGTGAATACCCGGTGTGAATTGTTGTTGGATCCAGTTGTCAAGTGTGGACATGACTATTTCGGCTAAGGGTGAAGATAACGGGCTGCCCATGGGCGAACCCCTAATCTGTTTGTAGAATAGGTTATTAAAGGTAAATTCTGTGATGTCCAAGCATATGGAAGTCAGCGCAACTATAGAAGAAACAATGCCAGAGTCTAATTGGGTGTCTTGGAGGAATTTTGTTAGCTGCGAAATGATCAGTTGGTGGGGTAGGGATAAATACATTGAATTGACATCATAGGATACCATGGTCGAGTTCTGCAGCGGGGTGAGAGATTGGATGAGCTGTATAAAAGCTGGGATGTCTGTTATGGAGCAAGAATGTGGTCGGTTCTTTACCAGAGGTGTTAGGAAGGTTGACAGGTATTTAGAAAGTCTGTATGCCGGGGAGAGGTGATAGGCTATGATGGGGCGGAGGGGAACGGTAGGTTTATGGGTTTTGGGCAAGCCGTAGATGTAGGGTGTACTGGACATATCAGAAGTGAATGTGTGGTACTGCTCAGATGTGATGGAGCCGGACTTTTTTAGACGTAACAGTTTTAAACGGAATGCTCTGGTGGAGGAGGTTATATCTAGTTGGGAAATCGGTATGAATGTTGTTTGGTCGCCAAGAATGTCCATCATCTTGGAGATATAATCATCTGTGTCCAAGATGACAGCTTGGGATCCTTTGTCGGATCGGGTAACTATGATTTGTGGGTTCTGTCTAAGGGATCGAAGTGCGCGGTACTTACCAAGAGATAGGTTCAACTGGGGGGTTGGTTTTCGGAGGACTTGGGATATAGATTGCCGTATGGTGTATTGGGTGGTGTGTGGAAGCGAGCTGATGGCGGGCTCAACTCCCGCGATGATCCTCGGCATGTCTGCTCTGGATGGGGGTCTATACTTAAGACCATAGGATAGGATTTCCTTTTGGATCGGAGATGGCACAAATGTGGTCAGGTTAATGAACGCGGGAGCGTGAGGTCTGCCGGGGAGGTATTCCACAGGGAAGCCATACTTGGTGGTCCAGTGGGCTAATTTCGAAAGGTGGCGGGCTCTGCAACGGCCATCTTGGCGTTTGACGTCTGTCATGGTAAGCGTCAGGAAAGAGGCCATGACGGGCTGGGGGAGAAGGGCGGCAACTATGGCGATGATGCCCTTGATAGTCTTGGAAAGGCTGCGGATCTGTGAGAAACAACCCTGGGTTCTGGATTTCAGCAATTGCTTCTGGGTTCTGTCAATATTCCACTTTGAGTACGTGTTGCGGACGGGATCCCTAAGTCTTAGAGCTGGGGGGATGAATTCGGCTTTTTCGCAGGTTTTGTTGAACCAAAGGTGTGATCTCCATTTGGCCAATTGGAGAGACTTTCTTCTGAGGAGGACCAAGTATTTGAGGGCATCAGGGCTGAGAATGTTGGAGTGTCGGAGATTGAGCAGAAATAGATGGGTCTCCTGAGTATCAGACATGAGATTCCTTCAAAGCGAGCGTATTCGTTAAAATGCAATAGATCTTAATAGCAAGAAAACTTTCTCCACTGATTATATTAACTAGAGATAAAACGTAAGGAGAAAAGATTTTTTATTCACATAAACGTGCGACAAGCTTTCGGGCAGTCACGCTCTTCAGTATGTATTGTAATACATATTTACATAAATTTAGAAGAAACAATATTTACACAATGCAACCTAGCAAGTTATTTGCATAGCCAGGCGCAAACATACTCCCCCCCACCGCTGAACTTCAGTTCAGATCTCGAGGTGTAAAGGGAAGAGGAGCCAACTTGGTGATTGGTCTTCTAAAAACCCCTCCGGCTGTCCTGACGAGTGCGACTCGCACCATTTTGTCGCTCCCTGGAAACACTTCAATTATTCTTCCCAGCCGCCATCGCATTAGTGGAGTCCCATCTTCCTTTATTAAGACCAGTTGATCTACCTCTAGATTTAATTTCTTTTACCCCCATTTTCCCTTTTGTTGTAAAGAATTAATGTATTCTCCGGACCATCTTTTCCAAAAGGAATTTCTTAGTATTTGCACTAGACTCCACCTCGATGTTAAATTAATTTGGTCCTTAGAAGTTAGTTCTGGTATATCAATCATGGACGTACCAATCAGGAAATGCCCGGGTGTCAATGCTTGAAGATCATTCGGGTCTGAACTTGACTCTACGAGTGGCCGACTGTTCAAGCATGCCTCGATCTGGCAAAGCAAAGTCGTAAATTCTTCCGGGTTCATCAGCGATGTCCTGCCAGCTCTGGTTATATGGCCTTTGGCACTCTTTATATTGGCCTCCCATAGGCCTCCAAAGTGTGGAGCGGATGGCGGTATAAAGTGCCACGTAATTAATTCTTCTGAAATAAATTCTCTAGTTTCCATTGCATTAATTATTTCAAACTGCTCTCTTAGAATTCTTTGAGCGCCCTTAAAATTTGTTCCATTGTCTGAATAAATGTCGGACGGCCTTCCTCTTCTTGAAATGAATCGTCTTAGGGCTGCTATAAAGGAGTTCGTAGAGAGGCTGGTCACCATCTCAAGATGGATTGCCTTTACAGCAAAGCAGACAAACAATACGACATATGCTTCAATCACGCTTTTGGACCTGATCAAGCTGGGTCTCAGACCGAATGGACCCGCTATGTCTATCCCGGTTTTAAGGAAAGGTCTAGAAGGGTTCACTCTATCAGGCGGCAAGTCTCCCATTATTTGCTCGACTGTTCGAGCTCTGAGTTTAAAACAGATCAGGCAATTTTTGACTACCCGTCTTACTATTTCTCGGCCTCCCAGTATCCAATACTTATTTCGTATTAGCGATAAAACCAATTGAGGGCCCGCATGGAGATATCTTTGATGATATTCTTGTATGATTAACCTGGTGATATGGTGTTTTTTAGGCAAGATCATAGGATGTTTCTGGTTGGATGACAAGTTAGACCTCTGAAGGCGACCTCCAACCCTAAGTAGGCCCTCGTTGTCCAAAAATGGCCCTAAATCCAAAATTCGATTTTTATTTGGAAGCTGAATATGATCATTTAACGATTGAATTTCATGAAGAAATTCGGAACATTGTACTAGCTTGACAATCATCATTATAGCACGATTCATCTCAGCTGTTGTCAAGGGACCATATTCTCTTTCCTTACTTGCTCTTTGGCAATTTGCTCCAAATCTTAGACACCAAGCTGTGACTCTTTTTAGTCTTGTGAAGGACGAGTATTTCAGGAAGTATTCTGGAACGCTTGTTGTCTGGAGATGGCAGAATGCCACAACCTCTTCTTGCTTTTGAATTTGAAGATCACTGTTCGAGTTCTCCCAAATTCGCTCAACACAGTCATCCTTCAACCACGAGGGTCCTTGCCACCAAAGTTCATGTTTTATCAGTGCCGCAGGCTTTAGACCTCTCGACGCACAATCGGCTGGATTGTCCTTTCCAGAAACGTGACCCCAGTACTTTAATTCTGTCAACTGCTGTATTTTCATAACTCGATGACTTATAAATTTCTTCCATCTATTAGGATCCGATTTTATCCAGCAAAGTGCTATTTGAGAATCCGTCCATAGATGAACTTCATCTAGTGGCAATTTAATTGATTCTACAATAGACCTATAAAGCCGTGATAGAAGAAGAGCAG